GCTGATAAAATATTTTTGGGAAGTTCAGTTACAACAGTGGCTTTTCATGTGCTGTTTAGGAAATTTGAGCTTAAAAACTCCCTACAAAGAATCAATTGCGTAGACATTACTTGTATTTTGAGAAGCAATGTACTTTGTTACATAGGAAATAATGTGAAGGAGTAATACTAAGAATAATTTCTTGCTTAAGACTTTATCTTTCCAGGCTACCAGGTGGATGGAGAAGGTACATCAAGCACTTTATTACAGAACGTAGTGTAAACAATTATACTGATACAGCATCAGAAATAAGTGTATTTCTGAAAGACAGACAGAGAAGATGTGCCATAGAAATAGATTCAAAATAATGTGTGGATCATGTGCAGGAATGCAAAGTCGTTCTGCTAATCTCATTGGTCTGTGGAATGCTCCATTGAAGCAAGCAATCTGCATATGCATTTTACACTGTTATACAGTTTTACCCATTTCATTCAATGGAGCTTATTGTCAAATCAGGATGCTTTAAACTGCAGCACTGTTTATTATATATACTTGTGAACACTACCTGGCTACATCAATATTTTAATCAATATTAACCAAACATTACATAAAGAACCAGTCAAGATTGCCTGCTATAGTCTGGTAAATAAGATCTTAATAAGTATGGGGAAGACAGAAATACCAAAAGTTCTAATGTGATTCTGCTTTTATGTTCAGTTTATTGACAGGATGCATTCAGAGGAGGAAAAAAAGACATTATTGATGTATAATATTTATTACAACCATATATTTAGTTATATTATTATTAAACGTCATCATAAATGTGTCAGAAACCCATTGAAGATATTTTGATACTTCTACTTTTTAAAACTTTATCCATTTATATACCTTCAAAATACATTTAAATTACAAGTGATAGAAATGCTAGTATTTGGTATGTAACATTACCCAGAATGCAAACAGTTCAAATTGTGTAGGACTGAGAATCTGATCTTACGCGCATTTATAACTGCTGTAATGAAAAATACTGTACAAACATTTGGATGTAACAATAGTTGTACCCTATATTGTCAAATAACAAACTATCTAATCTTAACCAAACTCTCTTGCCAGATACAAGAAACTTACACTTTCCATATCTACTGGCAAGAAGATGGCACTGAAATGAATCAGTTTAAGTTTGTAATGCACTTACTTGTTACCATGTTGCTAATTTGCTTGCAAAAGCTAATACGCATGACAACAGGGATAAAAGGTGCTATGGAAGAGGCGAATGTGAAGTGAATTTTATTAAAGGGTTTCTTTGGCACTTTTCCCTTGAAGCCTCCAAAATGCAGATAAAAATTAAAACATATATTTCCTAGTGCCTGGGCTCAGTAATAAATTGATGAGAGCAATGCATCAACTTATGTTCAGTCCAGATTAGATGGACTAATGATGGATATTTTCTCTTTTCAGGTTCATACTGTTCACTCTTATCTGAATGCAACAGTATTTCTCTAAAAGCAATAATCACAAGTGTTTTTTGTTTCTTTACTCACAGATCCATTAAAAAAAACAACTGGGAATATAAGTGGCAGATTGCCTTTTCCAAGCTTCAATTAGTGGAACAACTATGACCTTTTCTATCAAAGGTATCTGAGCTCCAGTCATCCATGCAAGGGTAACCTCTAAGCTGGACTTTACAATAATTGCTTTGACAATGAATCAGATTCTATAGTTAATACAAAAGACAACTTAAAAGAGTGCCATTGCAATGAATTTTGGAGGCACGTAGCACTGATACTGAAGCATCCTTACTTGGGGCTTCTGACTTATTTCTAGATCATAATTCAAAGTACTTACGTTTATGTCTGCCGTCATCTACCATATCTGATTATGGTGTTTCATATGAACATGCCCATATACTAACATCATCATCCGGAACATAAGTTTCATCCAAAACATAGAAGTTTTTCTGCACGTTTTTTGAACTGTAGCTTAATGGACTTGCTACTTTAGCTGTTATTTTGAAGCATTCATGTCATAAGATTTCAGCAACAATATATTTATTCCACTTGTATTCCTTCATGAAACAATTAAGGATAAGTAAAATTACAGTATTAATACAATTCTTTGAAAAGATGTTTGCATCCTTTCAGCCTTCTATAGCTTGCATATCTTTGTCATTAAATATTAACAGAGATTTATGTGGGTCTTACAAGAATAGATGATAATAAATTAATAATAAAAATTTAAAAAAATTATAAAGAAATTATAAAGAAATAAAGAAATAGCATTTGCCAGCAAGCAAGAACTGGTGGGACCACAAAACAGACAAAGTAATAGAAAATGAAG